CAAGTCTTACAACAAAGTCTAGCGAGTCTTCATTTAGTGTCGTGTTCTGGCAATCACAGGTGTTGAGAGAGATGCTCCTGGACGCAGGTTCGAATCCTCGTCACGGCTCTTGTGGATTTGTTCACTTGAGGGAGTGTGTCAGCCTTGACTGACCCTCGCGGCACATTACTGCTCCATCGTCACTGAGTTTGTCCTCTCCAGAGGCGCCAGAATGCCGCTGGTGACCGTGGCGGCGCCGCTGGCCGTGGTAGGGATGGTGGTGGCGGTGGTAGAAGAACAACGGTGGTAGACGAGCGGTGGTGATGGTGAAAGCGGTGTTTAGGGAGCATGGTGAACTTTCTGGTGGTGCCCAGTAGTAGAGTAAGACGTGATTCTCATCATGGCTGCCTATAAGGCCCGGTGAGAACCAGGCGCCTCAGACGGTAGAGCAAGAAGGCGAAGGTCGTAACCACCACAAAGAATCTGAACAAGAACATCAATTACAATCGAAGTAAACCAAAACAAAAATGGCACAAAAAAATACACCGATAAACAGAGAGAGCGAGAAAGAGAAACTGTACAGAAGGTCTTACCAACACTTGATTGTTTCATTGAGGAATGTTATTGTGGCAAGGGGATGATTGCGGGTAGTTTGGTGGTTAAGGGTAACGAGGGGAGTCATGTCTAGAGTATCACGCTATCCCCCCCCCTCTCATCGGGGCTTGTAGACCTGTGGGATGGGGGATGGGGGTGAGAGGGGATTGGGGACGAGACAAGGGGAGGGGGAGGAACTGTTATGGTGAGGCAGCAAGGTGAAAATGGAGGGTCCCTGGTGAAAATGGAGGGTCCTTGGTGAAAATGGAGGGTCCTTGGTGAAAATGGAGGGTCCTTGGTGAAAATGGAGGGTCCTTGGTGAAAATGGAGGGTCCTTGGTGAAAATGGAGGGTCCTTGGTGAAAATGGAGGGTCCCTGGTGAAAATGGAGGGTCCCTGGTGAAAATGGAGGGTCCCTGGTGAAAATTAATACGAAGGGTCTTCGTGAAAATGTTCTTTATAAACCCGACACTCGGAAACTGATGACTAGGGTGGAGAGTGGGTGGGAATAGCCAAGGGAACCTGGCCTCTTAGCTAGTACGTCACATTTTGTACGTAATGGTTTCCCCAATTACAAAGAACTATGAAAACGTCGCAGCTCATACACGTCCACGTCGACAGGTTAGGTTAGGTGGGTTGCTTGGGAATGTACGTAGCTGGTTATAGGTCAGGACTGGGCTGGATGACGAGGGGTTCGATTCTTCCTGGTGAAAGTCGAGGTTTTGTAGAGGGTCGACTTTGATGGAGTCGACTCTTCACGGCGCCACATTCAAGGTTTTATGGCTTGTGCCTTAGTGCTTGTGTGATGGTTTGTGGCTCCTGGTGCTAGAAGGGTTTGTGGCTCCTGGTGCTAGGAGGGTTTGTGGCTCCCGGTGCTAGGAGGGTTTGTTGGTCGGGTGCTGGTTGTGCTCCGTGCTAGAAGGGTTTGTGGCCTCCCGGTCCTGGTGCTAGCTAGAAGGGTTTGTGGCTCCTGGTGCTAGTGGTCTCGGTGAAGAAGGTTGTGGCTTGTAGGAGGTGTCCTGGTGCTAGAAGAGCTTGTGGCTCCTGGTGCTAGAAGAGCTTGTGGTTCCTGGTGCTAGAAGGGTTTGTGGCTCCTGGTGCTAGGAGCTCCTGGTGCTAGAAGAGCGTGGCTAGAAGAGTTTGTGGCTCCTGGTGCTAGAAGAGCTTGTGGTCCTGGTGCTGGCTGGCTCCTGGTGCTAGAAGAACTTGTGGCTCCTGGTGCTAGAAGAGCTTGTGGCTCCTGGTGCTAGAAGGGTTTGTGGCTCCTGGTGCTAGGAGGGTTTGTGGCTCCCGGTGCTAGAAGGGCTTGTGGCTCCCGGTGCTAGAAGAGCTTGTGGCTCCTGGTGCTAGAAGAGCTTGTGGCTCCTGGTGCTAGAAGAGCTTGTGGCTCCTGGTGCTAGAAGAGCTTGTGTCCTGGTGCTAGAAGAGCTTGTGTCTGGTGCTAGAAGAGCTTGTGGCTCCTGGTGCTAGAAGAGCTGTGGCTCCTGGTGCTAGAAGAATTGTGGCTCCTGGTGCTAGAAGAGCTTGTGGCTCCTGGTGCTAGAAGGCTTGTGGCTCCTGGTGCTAGAAGAGCTTGTGGATCCTGGTGTAGAAGAGCTTGTGGCTCCTGGTGCTAGAAGAGCTTGTGGCTCCTGGTGCTAGAAGAGCTTGTGGCTCCTGGTGCTAGAAGAGCTTGTGGCTCCTGGTGCTAGAAGAGCTTGTGGCTCCTGGTGCTAGAAGAGCTTGTGGCTCCTGGTGCTAGAAGAGCTTGTGGCTCCTGGTGCTAGAAGAGCTTGTGGCTCCCGGTGCTAGAAGAGCTTGTGGCTCCTGGTGCTAGAAGAGCTTGTGGCTCCTGGTGCTAGAAGAGCTTGTGGCTCTGGTGCTGGCTGGGATCCTGGTGCTAGAAGAGCTTGTGGCTCCTGGTGCTAGAAGAGCTTGTGGCTCCTGGTGCTAGAAGAGCTTGTGGCTCCTGGTGCTAGAAGAGCTTGTGGCTCCTGGTGCTAGAAGAGCTTGTGGCTCCTGGTGCTAGAAGAGCTGTGGCTGGTGTAGAAGAGCTTGTCCTGGTGCTAGAAGAGCTTGTGGCTCCTGGTGCTAGAAGAGCTTGTGGCTCCTGGTGCTAGAAGAGCTTGTGGCTCCTGGTGCTAGAAGAGCTTGTGGCTCCTGGTGCTAGAAGAGCAGGTAACCCAAGATGACAAACTCTTGTTATTCAGGTAACTCACGGAAGCAATAGAAGCAAAACAAAACGATGTTTTGCTGTACGTAAAACAAACTATGTATTCATGAACTCCGCAAAGTCATTTGATAAGTATGATCACCGAGTGATATTGCTAATGATCCTGGTTATCTTGAAGATGATTTCGGGGCTTTAGTGTCCCCGTGGCCCGGTCCTCGACCAGGCCTCCACCCCCAGGAAGCAGCCCGTGACAGCTGACTAACACCCAGGTACCTATTTTACTGCTAGGTAACAGGGGCATAGGGTGAAAAGAAAGAAAACTCTGCTCATTGTTTCTCAGGACCACAGGGCACCTGGGTTCGGACAACCGGCTGGTACCAAGCACGGTAAAAATCACCCCAAGACACAGAACCACCCAAGTTAGAATAGATAAAAATTCAAGTCACAGCTTCGTGTCGTCGTTTGCAGACTAAAAATCAATATAAAGGCTAAAGTGAAATTTGACAAGTTGATATAAATAAAGTCTATGTATGATTCGACAATGGATAATAACATTTGAGTTTAACAATTATAAATTCCTGATACTTACGAATGGTAAAAATTAAGAACTTAAAACGAAATAGGGTTCAGGAAGCAATCATATCTACTCCTAGAAGAAAAACATGTAAAGGATCTGTTAATAATTACACACACACACACACACACACACACACACACACACACACACACACACACCATACCTAGTCAAGCATAAGACTAAACTGGAAAAGGTTCAAAGGTTTGCCACCAAACTAGTACCCGAACTGGGAGGTATTAGCTACGAGGAGAGACTACGGGAATTTAACCTCACGTCACTGGGAAACAGAAGAGTTAGAGGGGACATGATCACCACATACAAGATTCTCAGAGGAATTGATAAGGTAGATAAAGACAGACTATTTAACACAAGGGGCACACGCACTAGGGGACACAGGTGGAAATTGAGTGCCCAAATGAGCCATAGACAAGTTGGGAAGAATTTGTTCAGTGTCAGTGTAGTGGACAAATGGAATGCATTAGGAAATAATGTGGTGGCGGCTGACTCCATACACAGCTTCAAGTGTAGATATGATAGAGCCCAGAAGGCCCAGGAACCTCTACACCAGTTGATTGACAGTTGAGAGGCGGGACCAAAGAGCCAGAGCTCAACTCCCGCAAGCACAACTAGGTAAGTACACACACGGGACGAAATACAACATCCCCCTTTATTCCAGCTTCCATCTTTCTGATGGAAATAGTGAAGGAAATTGTACCAGAAATAGTGCCGCTCCCCAAGGCACCTACGACAAGCCGAATCCTTCTGTTAGACAAAGGACAGAGAGCGGGGTTAGCCCCCTTCTATCCCCCCCCCCCCCCCCCACCGTCCCCCTCTCCTCGCGGGAGATTACACACGATAAATCTACTTGGAGCGGTCGTTCTGATATCGTCATCGCTCGATATCAAGGGCCTTAGCACAATATCAAGGGCATTTGCGATAGCGGGAGCCCAGATACTGTTGATGCGAGAACCCGATATGTTTACGAGAGTGCAATGCTATCGCTCTTGATCTTATAGGTATTTACCTATAATAATTGTTAAAATAATTAACAGTAGAATAATAACACAGCTACAACAACAACAGTAATAATAACAATAATAATAACAATAATAATAATAATACAATTACCTTAAAGGGAGGGACAGAACCGCACACATACGAGAAGGAAAACAAATGAACAGAGGCAGGTCTTGGGGAACTGCTCAATACTTGATCCTAAAAAAAAAGCCACAAAACCAGGATTGTGACAAATCCAGAGATTTTTTTAGCTTTGGATCAACGCCGGAGACGTCTAGAAGGACACGACCGAGGGACAAGGACAAGGGCGACACGACCGAGGACATGAACAGGGGCAACACGACCGAGGACATGAACAAGGGCAACACGACCGAGGGACAAGAACAAGGGCGACACGACCGAGGGACAAGAACAAGGGCGACACGACCGAGGACATGAACAAGGGCGACACGACCGAGGACATGAACAAGGGCAACACGACCGAGGGACAAGAACAAGGGCGACACGACCGAGGGACAAGAACAAGGGCGACACGACCGAGGGACAAGAACAAGGGCGACACGACCGAGGGACAAGAACAAGGGCGACACGACCGAGGGACAAGAACAAGGGCAACACGACCGAGGACAAGAACAAGGGCGACACGACCGAGGACAAGAACAAGGGCAACACGACCGAGGACATGAACAAGGGCAACACGACCGAGGGCATGAACAAGGGCAACACGACCGAGGGACATGAACAAGGGCAACACGACCGAGGACATGAACAAGGGACGACAAGGACGGACAAGGACAAGGGCAACACGAACGAGGACATGAACAAGGGCAACACGACCGAGGACAAGGACGAGGACAAGGACAAGGGCAACACGACCGAGGACATGAACAAGGGCAACACGACCGAGGACATGAACAAGGGCAACACGACCGAGGACATGAACAAGGGCAACACGACCGAGGACATGAACAAGGGCAACACGACCGAGGACATGAACAAGGGCAACACGACCGAGGACATGAACAAGGGCAACACGACCGAGGACATGAACAAGGGCAACACGACCGAGGACAAGGACAAGGGCAACACGACCGAGGACAAGAACAAGGGCAACACGACCGAGGACATGAACAAGGGCAACACGACCGAGGACAAGGACGAGGACAAGGACAAGGGCAACACGACCGAGGACATGAACAAGGGCAACACGACCGAGGACATGAACAAGGGCAACACGACCGAGGACAAGGACGAGGACATGAACAAGGGCAACACGACCGAGGACAAGGACGAGGACATGAACAAGGAACACAGACGAGGACATGAACAAGGAACACAGACGAGGACATGAACAAGGAACACAGACGAGGACATGAACAAGGGCAACACGACCGAGGACAAGGACGAGGACATGAACAAGGGCAACACGACCGAGGACAAGGACGAGGACATGAACAAGGGCAACACGACCGAGGACAAGGACGAGGACATGAACAAGGAACACGGACGAGGACATGAACAAGGAACACGACCGAGGACATGAACAAGGAACACGACCGAGGACATGAACAAGGACAACACGACCGAGGACATGAACAAGGGCAACACGACCGAGGACATGAACAAGGGCAACACGACCGAGGACAAGAACAAGGGCGACACGACCGAGGACAAGAACAAGGGCAAAACGACCTAGAACATGAACAAGGGCAACACGACCGAGGACATGAACAAGGGCAACACGACCGAGGACAAGAACAAGGGCAAAACGACCCAGAACATGAACAAGGGCAACACGACCGAGGACAAGAACAAGGGCAACACGACCGAGGACAAGAACAAGGGCAAAACGACCCAGAACATGAACAAGGGCAACACGACCGAGGACATGAACAAGGACAACACGACCGAGGTCTTCCATGTGATGACACGAACCGAACACAGATTAAGATGACACGAGCCAGAGAGCTTGGGGAGTCCCTCCATCACCAGTCATGGTCAACATCTCATCAACACACTCCTCAAGATGGTTTAAATTAAAGAGAGGCGCAGTGGAAGAGGAGCAAGAAGAGGAGCAGGAAGAAGAAGGGGAAGAGGAAGGGAAAGATCAAGTTGGAATCAGAGAAGGGGGGAGCGAGGAGGACAAGGAAGAAGACAAAGAGGAAGACGAGATAAACAGATATACATAAATGGAAGCACTTAAAGAGATAGAGTCAGAGAGGGATATAGACGGAGGCACATTGATGACAGAACCAAACACAGAGAAACAAAACGCATAAATGACAGAAACAGAGGCAGAGACAAAAAAAACAGTGACAGGCTAAGACAGGAAAATATATAACATGTAGACACAAATAGAAACAAAACAGACAAGCAAAAGGAGGCAGAGAGACAGAGACACACATATATATCTGCCAGTGACAGACAGGCTGACGCAGAGACGACAGAGAATGTGACAGACTGACGACAGACACACACAGGCAGAGGCGAGCAAAATAAAAAAAAATGAATAATAAGTGAAAAAGATAGAAAATGAGAGACGGAGGGTAACTTGTGCATTGACAGAAGAAAGGGCGAGGCGCCGGGAATGAATGAGGATCCTTTTGAGGACTGCAAATAACGGGCAGGTGAGGGAGAGAGAGAGAGAGCGAGAGCGGGAGAGAGAGAGAGAGCGAGAGCGGGAGAGAGAGAGAGAGCGAGAGCGGGAGAGAGAGAGAGAGCGAGAGCGAGAGAGCGAGAGAGAGAGAGAGAGAGAGAGAGAGAGAGAGAGAGAGAGAGAAAAGGGGTAAGAGGAGAAAAGGGGGAGAGGGAAGAACGGCGATAACGACGAGACGAGGAGAAGGAGAATATGAAAAGAAGCACGTCGCTCCTTTTCATAGAGAAAATACAACATAGAGGAAAAATGGGAGATCAGAGCTGGAAAGTGAGACACTTGGACAAAACCCTATATACAGGTTTTTGACTTCGAAAACGTAGGCGACAGATTAGCCATATGAAAAAAAAAATCTGAATGTACTAAACAAAACAAAACAAAAAAGGTTAAATTATTATACACGTGTGAAGTGTATGATGAAGAAATAAAAGAAACAAAGAATAGGAGTAAAAAAACATATATTTTTCATCCCCATTTTTGTTCCTAGATAGTAAGTGTTATTTTCCTCATTCCTTAGGCCTAAAATGATTAGAAAAAATGACTATTATCCCCCTCAAACATTGCTTCTGAAAGTTTGAGGGGAAATTTTGAAATTTGCTAACTTTTCCAATTAGAAAACGGGCGAATTTGGGACTTTTTGTGTCCCTGGTGTCCCAGAGGGAAAGATAACGGGGGGAACTTTGTAAAAACCGCCTTAGGAGAACCCATCAGGGATATCAATATTTCCTGGTCTGTGATGACCTTCCGCCAGCTGTGGTCCTCATATTTCAAGGTGTCTAGAGAGGTGTGGTGGCTGCTGGGAACATGGAGGTTACTCCTGGTTTATTCAGCAATGAATCTGTCTGGTATGGTCAGGAAAATAGATAAATTTCATAATACTGTCCGGGGTCAGTGTTCGGGGGTCAGTGTCCGGGGGTCAGTGTCCGGGGGTCAGTGTCCGGGGGTCAGTGTCCGGGGGTCAGTATTCCTGAACATTAAGGACAACTGCCTGGGGTGAGGGCATCTTCCCTGGGCACTAAGGACAGAACGAAGACGGTCTCTATAACTTCTAGCAAGGCAATATAACAGAGACCGAGAAACAGTAAACACAATCCGAAAGGCAGATTGAGGCACATAACCAAAAAGACAGAGATACAGATAAACAGGAGGGGAAGAGAGAAGCAGTGACACAAAGAGAGGCGCAGAAAAACGGAGAGAGAGAGGGAGAGGGCGGCAGAGAAAGAGACCAGATGGAGAAAGAACGGCGGATGACTGATGCATGCAAAACGCTTGCAAAACCCACCATTAAGTGGGAAAAAAACAATGTTCAAACTTCCCGGGATAAAAGAAGAAGAAAAAGGGAGAAAGCGGGGCGAGAAAGCAGGAATATCGCGAGTGAGAAAGGAGAGTAAGGACTAAATGAGGCGGTTGACATTAGATCTGGAGAGTTGCGATGGCCTGGGTGAGGCACGAGGCTAATGGTCCATAAGGAAGAGAAGCACCAGAAGACAGGCAAGAAGGGGGCAAGGACAGAGGTATACAGACAGGTCGACAGGCAGGCAGAAATGGACAGAATGGTAGGAGACAGAGGGCAGGCACAGGGCAACAGGTCTCGGCTGTACACACACACAAGCACAGGTTACCGAAATTAAATTCTTCCCGAGACTGACGGTACCTCAGGCAGAGCAACATCGGCCTTGAGGAGTGAGGTGGGTGGTTTAGATTCCTGCGCTTCTGCTTAGACAATAACACTGAGTTTGACGCGAGAGATTCAGATCGCGAGACAGGCCCGTCTACACTCCAGCCATGTGGCGCAGAGGGTAAAATAGATAATTAACTAGTCATCAGAGCCATTAGACAGTGGCAAAATTTGAAGCCTGTCAATGACTCCAGGATAAGTATTTGTCAGGGTCCTTAACGAATGAAAATAGGAACTTTTGTGACCCTTGGTCAGAGACCGGGCCGCGGGGACGTGAACTCCGAAATCATCGAAAGGTAAGGTAACCCTTTGTGTTCATATTTAATAGGTCATTCGACTATGACCTATTAACATATGTACAGGAATCGTAGAGGGTTGGGGATTTTGAAGACAGATGATAGATCACTTGTATCAGCCCTGTAAAACTTATGTATATGTGATTTATATTGTATTTTCTTAAATAAAGATAAAAAAAAATTTGTTTAAAGTCTGTTCCTTGACTCAATAACTGCAAAAGTTATTTCTATATGTGAAGAAAAAACAGATTTAATAAATGAGTCACAACATGCTTTTACTAAGAGTCGCTCATCTTATAGACATTTACAACACAGAAAAACCCCATTAACGTGATTCATCAATGAGAAAATCAGTAGGAGCCGTGACGAAGACTCGAACCTATGCTCTGGGTACTCGTCGCAGCCGAAAAGCCGAATCCTCGGCTTTTCTCACCAATTTACTCCTTTTAAAAATGCTTTAAAATAATAAGTTGATAGTGGGAAATATTGTGATGTTATGTACCTTGACTTTAGGTTAAGCCTTTGACACTGTGCATTATCAAACACTAAAAAGGTAAAGACTCGTATACTTGAAGTATCTAAAGTGGAAAGAATTTTTGTTGCAAAAATAAACACAGAGTAAGCATTAATAATCCGAGTGAGAAACGTTTTGTAGATGGAGTGCCCCATGACTCTGCCCTGAGACCACCTTTGTTTACCAAAAATATATATATATATACTATTGAGAAAGCATTGACCAAAAACGTAAGTAAATTTGGAGATGAAACAAAAATAGGGAGAGGAATAAATTCCCTATTTTTAAAGTTGGAACCCAACTTCCATAGTTCTTTTCTTTAAATGAATGTAAACTTGGTATATTGGGTTTAATGTCAACAAATGCAGGATTCTATGCCAAGGAAATTATATCAGAGGTACTAGGTATCAGCTGGACAATGATGAAATTGCCAAATTTAAATGCGAAAGTTGTCATGACTGAATCCTGCTAATATATCTGAGAATTATAATGTAGTATTGCATTGTAAAACTTATGTATATAATTTATATTGTATTTTCGTAAATAAAGATAAAAAAAATTATAAATGTTCTTAGAATCATAAGAAGTGTTAGCATTAGGATTAATCTTATTCTTCAATTTTATCTTGTCCTCTTTAAATATCATTTAGATTATGCAGTTCTGTTTTGAGCACCAAATAATAAAATTATTTAGAAAATGAATAGAGAATGATATTATTATTAAGAAACCTTCCTGTCGAACATAAATACGAAGAATAAGGAAAGACATGTTTAGGACATACAAAGTAACGAACGAGAGCAAAGGGGTAATAGCGTTCCTAATTTATGTATAAGATTTTCGAGTACAGAAGACTTCTGACTCCTGTTAGCGCCCCGAGAGCCTTCCCTTCCCCTCGTTTTTGGCAAGTCTTACCTACAAATGTCCCCACCAGATTCACGAAGCTTTTACGCAAGTACTTACGAACGTGTACATCTTTCCTCAATCTTTGAAGCCTTTGGTTACATTTATTCAACAGTTTACATGTATGAAAACTTTCCAATCAAATGTTGTTGTTATAAACAGCCTCCTGGTGCTTCGGAGCTCATTAACTGTTTAATAATTGTAAACAAAGCCGTCAAAGATTGAGAAAAGATGTACACGTTCGTAAGTGCTTGCGTAACTGCTTCGTGAATCTGGCCCCAGGTATCCAGTTACTGCTGGATGAACAGAG